GTAATTTTTAACTTCCTCTCTTGTTAATCGTGATAACAATTCCGTTGTTTCATCAGCAAATAATATCATTGCATAAACCCAAATATATATTATTCTGTAATAAAAACAAAAAAAACACTTTGCCTAATTAATTAAATTAAATTTGTTGTCTTTACTTCAGCTTTTATTGATTTTTAAATTTTAGTAATTTATACTAATGGAGGAAAATGATTGCTTTAAGTCACTAAAATTATTCCATAACAATGATAACTTATTAAAGATGGAATTGACAATAGCTTCATTAAAAAAAAGAAAAGAAGTTATGGTAAACAGCAGGGAAAGAAAGTTTTTTGAAATATTACCGTAAGTTTAATTTTACTAAAAACAATTTTTCCTTAAAGTAAATTAATGGAGAATGAAACGGAAAAGATGAACTCTTTGCTTCTTCTTGTTTTGTCTTAACTGAAAAAAAAAATCCTACTCCACCAAAACATTACTCTAAGACATCATTATCATTATTATCGTTATCTTCATCACCTCCATTATCACTATCATCATCTATCATCTGTTATAAAAAGAAATCAAATATATTTAAATGCGTAAAACAGCTTAGTTTTCTCTATGCACAATTTTTTTTTGTGTGCAAATTAACTTTTGAAGCAAACGAAATAAACCGATAAATTGATAAGATATTAAAAAAAAATATTTGATTTATTATTTCATTTAATATTTTGATAAATAAGGAGAGAAAAATAGGACCTAGTAATACATACCTGTAATTCATTACCGATAAATATATCAGAAATTAAATGAAATATGAAAAAATTTTCCTTTCGAATCCTTTTGATTAGGCATTTTATACCAAAATGGAAATATATTCTCATGCCATAATTATATGATAATGATTTTCATATACCTTGCATAAAATTTATACAATAAAAATTTAAAGTTTTGCGAAAAAAAAATCGAAATGTCGGTAATCATTCTTTGATAAAAAGTTTCATTTTTTCTAAATTTGAAAAAAATTTTTTTTATTTCTTGAAAAAAAGAAAAAATGAAATGTTTTATTGTTTTTATAGATTATATCAAAATATAAAATAAAACTATTTATATTTCTTTCGTTTTCCTTATTTTATTTTAATGTTTTACAGAAAAAAAAAAAAAAGAAAACAAGAAATTTACAAATACATAACATATTTGACCGGTTATCAATAGCTTACACTCATAAAGTCTTTTATCAATAATTTGCATTCAAAAATGACAACCTATTCAATAATTATTATATGATAATAAGTGTTAACATCACTTGTCAAAAAATTCTCTGAATTTCATTAATTGCACAACACTTTCTAATTACGGTATTTGTTGTTGTCATAATCAAAAATTATTAATTCGCAAAAAGATCAACCGATTAATCATTCTATTAATCGTGAATCAATACCCTTCACAAATCCTAATCATATAATCATTTCTTTTTTATCACCGTCCTTTCCTTCCTTTCTTCTCTTACATTGATGTTTTTTTCCGTTAATTAAATAATGAAGCAATTATTGTCTCATGCTTGGCAATTAATTTAGCTTAGCTTAATTTATTTTATATTCGTTTTTGTGTATCTTTTATATTTTATTATTGATGATGATTGATATTTTATCATAGTTATAGTTTTTCATTATATGGTTATAATCTTTTTATCAAAAAAAAAATCATCATAAAATCAAACAATATAATATATATCATAAATATCATCAAACTATCATATCATAAAATCGAACAACAGATGATAGCTATTTTAACACTTTGATAAAATTCAATCAATGTTACGAGACACTTAAATAACAAAGTGTTAAAATTATCAAAGTGTTTATCAAAGTGTTAAAATAGTTTTATCAAAGTGTTAAAAAATTATAATGAAAAACTATAACTATGATAAAATATCAATCACGATCAATAATTAAAACTTTAAACTGGCATAATATAATTGATTTAAAAAATTTGCCACAATTTAAGGTCTTGAGATATAACTTAAAAATATCAATTAAATTTTTAACAAATAATTATTGAAAATCAAAATTTTAACAAATAATTATATTTGATTGAAATGATTACAAAATATCAAATGCTAGTAATTATTATCATTGAAGATATGGAAATGAAATTAATAAAGTTTGCAAAAAAAAATCAAATATCTATCATTGATATAAACTAATTTTATACTTGAATCTAATATGAAATAATAAAATAATTGAATAATTAGAATAAAGATGCAGCACAATACTACTACAGTTATATTGTTAATCTTTCTTTTTCATTTAATTTATAAAACTTCAAATAACAATATATCTGTTAATTAATTTTATTTATTTTCAATCTTTAATGC